ACTCTCGACAAAACGTCTCACATATTTGGACATACATTCGAACCAATACAACTCGTAAGCCTTTTCTAAAGTCTTTTCTACCCCCATGTGCATCAGACCTTCATGCACATTATTGATTATAGACCACCTTAGCGAGCGCGGAATGATTGGAAGGCAACGGGTCTTACCATTACGCTGAACTTTGCGATACAGAATACCGGACCGTAACTCGTAGGACTGTGCAACATCACTAGATAGTCTCTTATCGTTTAAGTCCGAAATAACCTTACAAATTTCAGTATCTTTTTGTTGCTCTGCTTGTAGCCAGTTGTCGGTCAACTCTGCAACATCGATTCGCCGGGGCTGGACTTTCTGAAACGCGTCTTTCGGAGGTAAAGGGTTTCTAGACAGAAAGTCAGCGTGAGACATAAGCTTTCCTCCGCGGTGGACAATATCAAAGTCAAAGCTCTGTAGAAAGGCCCACCATCTGTGAACTCGTGGAGTCAAGTCGAGCTTTTTGCGAGTCATTTGCAACGAACTACAATCGGTGACCACAAGAAATTTTCGGCCATGCAGATAGTGCCTGAAGTGCTTCACCGCGTTGACAACTGCGAGGGTCTCCAACTCGTACGAGTGGTATCTGGATTCCGCAGCTGTAGTACGTTTGCTGTAGTAAGCGACTGCGTGCAACTTACCTGCCTTTTTCTGCATGAGGACTGCACCATAACCAATCGCACTTGCGTCCGTATGCAGCTCTGCATCCAAGTCAGGATCAAATATAGTCAGCACGGGCTCACTTGTCAACACTGAAATAATTTGTTTTCTAACAGCTTCATGTTCGAGCTTCCAATTCATTTTACCATTACTAGCTGTAAGAAGAGCATAAAGCGGAGTCATAGTCTGCGAAAACTTCGGCACAAACTGCCGGAAGTACGACGCAAGCCCTATGAACTGACGCAGCTGCGTGACAGTCTCTGGTGGCGGTAAAAGCGTAAGTGCTTCCACCTTCCTTGGGTTTGGACGTACCTGTCCTCCACTAACTTCAAATCCCAAGTACTCTACCTTCTTTTTGAGAAACTTACACTTTTTGAAATTTAAAGAAAAACCTTTATCAGTGAGAATTTGCAATACAGACTTCAGACGATCCAGAGCACCTTCCACGCTGGCTGAAACGATTAATACGTCATCCATATAAACAATGACGTAACTATTGACCAGATCACCTAGGGCATTAATGATAGAACGCTGAAAAACAGACGGGGCATTTTTAAGACCAAACGGCATTGCGAGATATTCATATTGGCCGTCTGGAGTCACGAAGGCGGTTCGCTCAATTGATTCCTCGGCAATTCTAATTTGATGGAATCCTGAAGCCAAATCTAAAACTGAAAAATATTGGCCCCCATGTAACCTGGCGATCTGATCCGAAATCAGTGGTAGCGGAAACCTGTCGGGCACGGTATTATCGTTCAGCTCGCGATAATCCACGCACATTCTATCCGTACCATCCTTCTTTTTGACAAGAAGGATGGGGCTGGCAAATGGGGATGAGCTGGGACGAATAATGTTTGAATCGAGTAGCTCCTTCACCTTATCCCGAACAACCTGTCGCTCCTGTGGACTCAAACGATAGGGACGCCTATTCACCGTCTTGTGAGGATCCCTCAATCGTATATGCATCGGTTCAGCATCAGCACGTCTAAAAGGAACACCATTCGCGAAAGAACACTCGAAAGATTTTAAAATGTCCATCAACTCACCTCGGTTTGACAATGGTACATCTGTATCAATTGCATCGAGATTCACACCCTCGTTTGAACGAGATTCACACAGCTGAACAACATGCTCATTTACGAAAACCAGTCTTTCAGCAGACATGTGAATCGCTATGCCTTGTTTTAGAACTTCACGTCCTACCATAATGTCATGACGTAAGCAATAGTCAGGTAAAACATGGAAAAGAATTTCTAAATTTATGTCATCAATGATAACGACCGATAGTATCTGTATAGTAGAGTGCACAGAGGTTTGACCTATACCTATCATAGTTACAGTATTGTTAATTCTTTTACCACTAAGTTTAGTAGCAACAGACTCCTTAATCAATGAGCACTCTGCACCAGAATCATAATAAAATGAAAACTGCTCACCACTATGACGTAGCCGTCCAACAGGCGTACTGACAGAGCACAGGTCGACACGTTTCTGCTTGGCTGCATCAGATCCGGCCCCGCTGCTGCTCTCCTGGCTGCGTTGCTTAGTGCAGTTTGACGCATAGTGGCCCTGGCCTTGGCAACGAAAGCAGGTGATCGCAGGCTTCGTGGCAGATGACTGCGGCTTCGAGGAGTAGTTCTTGGCTTGCTGAGAACTCGAACGGTCATCTGGTCTTCTCATATCTCGTCTCTTTGATAGGCAGACTGTAGACTTGTGACCCAACTTCCCACAGTAAAAACACTTTAATGGAGTAGAAGTGTGGCCGGCGCGTGTCTTCTTCGGATCCACCATGTCATAATCACTACCAGCTTTTCGTTTGAGGAACGAGACAGCCTTGAGCTCTTGTTGTAGCTGATTGCGGGTAGTTACTTCGGTCGTAAATGATAGTCGCTGAACACGTCTATCGAAGCGGGAAACATGTGCCAAAACTGTAGCGATAGCAAGCTCTTCAGTCGTCAAATCTTTCCATCTTGACATAATGGAAGTCATTAACGAGGCGGCGTAGGTAGCTAAGCATTCGTTTTCTTTGGGCTTACGTTCATTCAAATTTATTAAAAACGAGGCAACAGTTTCAGGACAATCGTACCTTTGAATGAATAGCTCCTTGAAGTTGCTCCACGTCATTCCCGGAAACGACACTGTTGACAGCCACGTGGAGGCTTGGCCCTTCAAGGCACGGCTCAAAGCAACCATTAACTGCGTACCCTGGCGATATTCATCGTTAATACACAGGCTAGCGGTTGAAATCCATGCACGTGCATCCACATCCGATTTATCGGGGTCAAAATCGGGTAATCGCAACTCCATAGGTAACGATGGCGTCTTGATGGCACGAACAAGCATCTCAAAGTTCTTATTCTGCTGCATTAGTAGTTGCTGCCACTTTTCATCACTATTCACATCAGTGAAATCACTATTACGAGCACGTGGGCTGGCGTTTTCTAATCCCACTTCTGATATCGGGACCTGATGGGTCGCCTCGTTACCAGACGGGTCAGCCATCGTTAATTGTCCGTAAATACAATTATGTAGACACAGTAAAACACCTTATTAATCTTTAGATTTAATTTAAGATTCAAAATAACAACGGATGACACAGATACAGACGGATTATCAAGACGGAAAACGCGGCAAGTTCGATAGCACGTGGCAACGACCGTTGACGCTTGTGCTTCCAATTTGAATGCCCGTGACACTGTCCCCTCTCTACCGCAAGCCTCCACTGACGTTTTTAAATGGTCAAACGTCATGTGTCAATCGGTAATCATACAACCAGTGTTGCCACGTGAATCGACCTTACCCAAGTGTAGTACTTGACGTTTCCGTTACAAATTATTTAGAAGAATAATAATCAAATAAACTGGTCACACTAATTGATTAACTGACGTCATGATGCAAGGTACCGACATATTTATTTAAAACAAAGAAGGGTTTGTGCCCGCAATATTTTTGTTTATTTCCCACGGATAACGGATCATCCACACGCAATAGAGGACACGTCTTATTGAAAGCGATGTGCTTTAAAACCATCCATTATATTAGAGTTTCAGACATAATTTGTTAATCATTGTTTGTAAAGAATTGCTGCTTTTTTATTTAAAAACATTGCGATTTTCTCTTATATCGTCGGTGCGTTTACAAACATATTTTCATATACACATGACATCCCCAGACTTGAAACAACAATCTGTAGATCACACAAAGAGTTGTTGTTCCGTGACGGAAACGAACTCACAATTCGTTGCACGGCAGCCAGTTCCCCAGCCAGTACGCCAACCGCGAAGAAGAAGAATTTTGGCTATTCTTGTTATTTATTCATAACTAGCTTTTACCCGCGGCTTAGCTCGCGTCACAAAAGGATAAAAAGTAGCCTATGTGACGTACCAATACATACCGGCCATCCAATAATTTCGTTTTCCCTCGAGAACATCAATTATTATTTAATCCAGACTTCTAACTTCACGTCTGCAAAAATTCAAAGCAATCGGTTTAGTAGTTACGGCGCGAAAGTGGAACAAACAAACTAACTCACTTTCCGATTTATAATATTAGTAAGGATAACTAACACATTACATTTTGGCATGTTTCACCTGTTTCATTATAAAGAGCCATATTGTAAATAGATGTTTAAAAAAGTTTAAATTATCTCATCGCTTTCGCATTGCCTTCATTACACAACAAACACAAAACAATGACGTCACCCTTACACAATCATTGCAACCGAGTTTTACTAAATAAGTAATGTCCAAACAGTGAGCCGTGTGCGGCGGACAAAACGGGAGATTTTGCGACCTGTCCGGATTATGGTACGTGTTCAGTGGTAGCTGCCTATTTCTGCGCTGTGGTTGTTGGTGCACCACTGTGCACTGTTGTGACAGCTGAACCAGTAAAGGATTAACAAGTATGGTTTGTTGTGAGCGCTATGTATTTTTTTATTGGTCTGATCAATGATCTTTTGTTTTTTGCCCGTAGGATGGTCTTACTTTTCTTGTACGATATTCTGATTTCTGTGTGTTGAAATACAGTGCAAGCTGCTGAGAACTTCGACTATAAAGTGCAAATTCACATTTGGTTAGATAATTCGCTAGTTATTTTTGTAGAAACATGAAGAAAGTAAAAGAAATTATTAGGTTAAGCTGAATTTATTTTATTTTATGACGTATAAAAATTGACTGGATCTTTTTTACTTAAACAATCGTCTTTCAACTTACAAATTATATAGATTCATGGTACACATTTTCATACTATGTTTTTTTCTTATAACAAATGTATGCTTTACAATAAAATAAAACTAAATACCAAAATAATTAATAAACCCTATAATAATACAGGCAAACAGCAAGAGCGACGAACAACGCTGTGGTAGTGGTGGGACTTATGGAATCAGCACTGTTGCAGAAATCAGTAGAACACTGACAGACCGTCTCCAGATGGTCACGGTTGTCAGCCCTGTAGCAGGGCTTCTCGTGACGAACCCAACCGCAGCCGCGGGTCACACGGAGCTCGGAGTCCTTGTGAGGATGGTAAACTGCAAAATAGAAATTAAAAGTGTTGGTACCTATCTTCCAAGGGTAAAGTCAAATATACGGCCTAACTATAATAGGCCACTGTTGACCAAAAGGGTCGTATCGCCTGGAGAAGCAGAGCATTAATCACCACGCTTGCTGTAAACGCTTTAACAGAAGAAATTTTTTACTTTTGTCCCCACTATAAAAAATATTTGTATGTCGTGGGTGGATTAACAAAATCACATTTTTGAATAGGGTAACAGACAGTGTATGAAAATTAAGTTAGATAATGAAAAAATATTAGACACATATTCTTATTTTGTCGTATAAGAAAGCAAAACTTAGATAAAACGGTGTTAAGTTTAGGAGTGGGAGGTCGTTACGTCACGCTACCCTATAAGATGTAATAAATCGTGACGTCACACGATATTTCAAATCATATTCAAATATCGTCGATAGTATTTCATTTTGTAAGAAAAGAAAAATACGTGTGTGATGAAATAAAAATGTAGGATGCTATCCCTATTACTATGTGTCGCGGAGAACGTAACGGGTTACCGGGGCTCCGGCTCGACGTGCAGGAAAAGGAACGGGGTGGTTTTTAGTCAGTAAGAGTCTGACACTCCCTCCCGCCTCACCCAGGCGGGAGCAGTCATTCGATGAGTTTCCTCCCTTAAAAAATACCTATTGTTGTCCTGGCGCCGGTCACTGCGCCAACCGGGCATTGAAGTAAATTTTTGGTTTGTCAAACCTTGAGTGTTGCTCCACTATGTATGTTCGTCAGCATGAGCTTCAGGTCAGCAATTAGAGCTATCCTTAAGTCAGACCTTATTCCTATCTAGGTAAGATATCAAATAAGTTGTTTTAGATGATAATACTAACTGGTCTGCACAATCTTCCTACAGAAGAATTCATATTGTTCAACTCGATTGACAGCAGTGTTGCAGTCAATGACAGGTATGATCCGGCTTCGGACCTCGTCATCAAACTGCGTCGGATCGATGCAGGCTGAGTTGTTCGCGCTGTTGCAGTAGAAACAGTAGATGGCTGACGCTGGAAAACGTAAAATAATTTTGTTAAAACCTTACAGCCACCAAAGGGCGTAGCTTCTTGTTCTATGTTTAAGGTAATCGAAACGAGACCGTGTTAGGCGTTCTGATTGGTGGGTTGATAGGAGGCGACCGGCAGAATTGCATTGAAATTATGTGTGGAAGTGCCATGGTTCGACACCAAAGGGCTCAACCAAAGTGATACCACGGCTCACAGAAAACTGACGTGAAGCAACGTCACCGGTCACCCCCTCCCCTCCTTCCCCAATCTTACCTATCTAATCCTCAAACTCTTAATTCCCAAAACGCTGGTAACGCATTTGTAACGCCTCTGGCGTTCCAGGTGCCCATGGGCGACGCCGATTGTTTACCATCAGGTGATCCGTCACTCGTTTATCGACTTAACCCATAAAAAAATGTATGCAGCTATTAACTATTTTGGATCTTTTAAATTTTATCATAGATGTGTGATATGGCATATAGTTTTAACCATCATCTTCTAAATTTGAATGTCTACCTACAAGTGACACCTAGGAATACAAGTAAGGTTACGTCCTACGTCGTGTTAAGTAACTTTTAGTTAAGAGATGGTTAAGAGGTTGTTGGTGAAAACGGCCAGGAGTCTATTCAACGATTTTAAAATGCTAATTGTATATAAAAGGTACTTTTTATGAATGTTAGAACTCCTACATTAACACATTTTTTTCTGGAATAGATTTTTTTTACTTACATTTGTAAATCAACGATAAGAATATCGTTATTGTTATCACCAAGTTGTTTGGAGACATCTTCGTTATCTGCAAAAAAAACATTAATTGAATTGCGTCGTAAATTATACAGCACTTATTTATTTACCAAAAAATTCAAACGAGTTAGGACGAACAGTAACACGAAATAGAATTTTGAGCTTCTTTGTTATAGTATCATAACATAACATCACCCATTTATCCCCAAAGGGTAGCCAGAGGTAAACATTACGGCACTTAATGCCACAGTACAATGTAACACCCACATTTTTAAAATTGTATGACAAGTCCGTGGAGAATTAATCTATAATATTTTAAAAAAAAAACACCCACTTTTCACTATTTATGTTATGAGTCCCATGTAATAGGGGGTGAGCCTATTGCCATATACCGGGCACTATTTCAGTCTCATAAACCTATGAGATTATACTATTCATATTACACTCCTTCCTGCCTCACCCAGGCGGGAGAAGTCATACGATGATTTTCCCCCCTTAAAAAAAAAGAAACCGTTACTAGACTGCACGGTTAAAGCGGTGGTGGGGCAAAGAAAAAGAAGAATTTTAGAAGAAGGTAAGTTCAGTTGTCTGCCATAGGACTCCTAAACAGCATTAACATTTTACAAAGTTTTCATACGAAACTAATCTACGAAAAACACCTAAAGATCTGTAAAGTCTCCATGAATACCTCTAATAACTTTCTTTTAACACAAATTACAAACATAATGCGTCCCTAATAAGACTTATTCACCCTTTCAGCATTACTTTAAGACTATTATTACAGTAAAAGGTCGGAAGTCATTAAAAAACTGTTTTTGTAATGGAGTTTAGTTGTAAGAAATAAACAATAATTTGTTAAAATTATGACTTGACGGCAATGCGGGATTGCAGCCTGTGTGAAAACCGAGACGCGGGGGGGGGGGGCGTCGAAATATCATTAACATGGAGACCTACATCGACGACTCGTGTTATTAGGTATGTACTTAGACACATAATTGCAGAGAAAGTATTTTAGTTATTATCTCACAAATATCGCTACCATATATAAAGTTATTTTCAAATCCGGCCATTTTGGCTAATGTTTTTACGGCTGACATCACAACATGAAAACCTGCATGCTTATTATAATAAAGACATTGAAATAATTGTTTAAATGGCCCCCTCCTCGCATAGAAGACATTATGAAGGGTTGAAATCAATCTTGAATAAGGCACTAAACGTCTTCAGTGTTCCGGTGTTTTCATGATTGTATCTACTGTAGATCCTGGCTTACAGGAGTTGCAGCGGTTTTGGGAGGTTGTGGCGAGCTTGTCCCAAAAAAAAAGCACTAAACGTCTACTTAGGCCTAATTCCCTATCCCGATACGGAACAGCGGAAGGCCTAACGGGTTGCCAGGGTTCCAGCTCAAAGAGCAGGAGTAGGAACGGGGTCGATTTTAGTCAGTAAGAGTCTGACACTACCTCTCACTTCACCTAAGGCGGGAGAAGTCATTGGATGATTTTCCCCTCTCAAAAAGGACTAATTTTCTATTTTTACGTTGTATGTTTAGTCAAGCTCATGATTTGATTTCTAAAGCATATAAATCTTTGGTCAAATGTAGTAAAAGTTTGATGGTCGGAGCAGAAAACGGTATATGGTTTTCCAATTTAAAATGGTACCCAATGAATGACAATGCATACATACATACATATCTTCACGCCTGTCTCCCATGGGGGTAGGCAGAAACTAGGGTACGCAAATTACTACGATTCCTACATACCTCTTACGCTTCATCAACAGTCATCAATCTTTTCATGCATGCTCGTCGGTTAAGGGTACTTTTAATTTGGCCCTTCTTTAATATATCGCCAATCTGGTTATGGTATAATGTCCGTCTAGGGCGCCCTCTACCGACGGCCCCATTCATATCCGCTCTGTATTACTTCTTTCGTTACTCTACTTTCATCCATCTTTTCTACAAACCAGTGTAACATTCCCTTTTCAATCCTTGTCACTACGTCATCTTTCAATCTACACTTTTCTCTAATAACACTATTTTTCTATCTATGGCAATGGTCTTTATTATATTATGAGGTCCATACCTTACTAACCATAAGTAGAATAACGAGTCATAATTATCTAAGATTTATTTAAAGAAGAAGCTACCCAAATGCTAATTTTAGCAAACCATAAGAAAATACTTACATACATTCAAATTAAAACGAAACTTAAACACTTTAAAAAACACAAGATGTTTGTTATATATTGAATTTAAGTGTAATATCTTTAATTTAGGAGGTCACAACGATATGGAACCACACTTGTATTGCTCACACAGATAACTGAGGAAGCTCCTAAATAATATATCATTACATAATTGTATGTGTATGTATGTCTGTCACGATGTTTGTAACTACTCCAATCCAACCTGCAAGTCTTGAGCATTAGTTTTATTAATATTTTAATTTAATACAATATTTTTAAATTATTATTAGCCGTCTTGGTACGTTCGTACTTTATGTAGACAATCAGTCAGTCAGATAGTCATTCCGTCAGTCAGTCATTCAGTCATTCAGTCAGACCTTCAGACAGTCAGACAGTCAGTCAGTCGGTCATTTATTTCGTCTTCCGGTAATGATAACGATGATGACCATTATGTTGATTTTATTACATTATGTTGATTATTCTAATAAGCTTTGGATGATACTAGACTTCCCTCCTTTTAACATTTTGACTTTTGACAAACATACAAACCTATACAAACTTAATTAACATACTTATAAATGTTACTGACATTATCAAATTTCTAACAAGTAAAGCTATTTCAACACATTTGTTTGTCAAATTGGAAGGACTGTTGAATGACCTCATCGATAGCTCGTCAGTGCGATGACCTCTTGGCTTACCATATCTTAGCTGTCATAGCTAAGTGAATTATATCACTACAATAATAACTTGTTTCCTAAATAATAGTTCGGTCTGAAAATTAAAACATTAGTTAATGATTTTTTTATGGGATAAGTAAATAAACGAGCATACGGATCATGTACACCCGCAACACTAGAGGCGTTACAAGTGCGTTACTGGCCTTTTGGGGATTAGGAATTTGCGGATTGTTGGGGTTTCAGGGATTGGGGGGGGGGGGGATAATTGGGTCTCTAGTAACCACACTCACACGACGAAATACAACGCGGGAATCGAACCCGCTACACGTTGCGCGGCAGCCCACCGTGCTAACCGTGGAATAATTACAAAGTGCAAAGCTTTCTTGCTGCGTAATTGTAGCCGTAGTAGTAGATACCGTAAATTGAATGCTCAGTTTGATGCATTACTGAATGCTATGCTACGTGTCGCAGTAATTCCCTTCACAGAACAATTGTCCTCAAGTCATCATCACAAATTATTTTCCTAATCTTGTCTCTATTGTGTTTAAAATGCACCGAAGACGTGGAAAAAAATAGCCAGACCCAGTTGTTCAGTCACCATGCTAATCATGCAGTCACCAAATGTCCATGCCATGAGACCTAAGTACAGTCGTACATTCAGCCAGACTCCACTTCATATCTGCCTAAAACTTCATCATAACATCATGCCTTTTATCCCGAAGGGATAAGCAGCAGGTGCACATTACGGCATTTAATGCCACTGTACAATGTAACACCCACTTTTCACTATTCATGTTATGCGTCCCATGTAATAATGCTGAGTCTATTGCCACATACCAGACTCCGTGCTACAACTGAGTTTTTTTAAACCCAGTAATACTTTGCCCGACTCAGGAATCTAATCTGAGACCCCTTGCCCGGCAGTCGAACTTGCGGCCACTCGACCAACGAGGCAGTTTGCCTAAAACTTATAATCATTAGTTTAACCACTACAATATTGCCCCTGGTTTAATTCGCGGTTAGGCGCTAATTAATACCATTACAGTTTGTGTTTGCCATTTTATCGGTAATCAAATCCACCATGTATAATGTATATGTCGGAGCAACAACATAATAACTTCAACCTTGTCTACTGCCATGAAGGGTTTGTGTGTGGAAGTGCGAATGACTTTTGATTTTAATATTTGAAATCACATATGATTGCTTGATGAATTTTAATTTATTTTATATATTATGTTTGTAGGTGTAACTACGACTTTTGTTCAGTGGTATGATGAATTATAATGGCCTACCACGAGATTGGATTCTCGAATTGAGTCAAAGCACTTTTTCAATTATTAAGTTCCTATTTTTTGTGTAGGTATACCTAACTTGACATACAAGCCATATAACATTGGCTCAGAGAGCCATCAGACCACCACGGATGGGGCCCAATAGGGCTGATGCTGATTCGGAGCCGCGAAGAACCTAACGGGTTACCGGGGCTCCGGTTCGAAGTACATGAGTAGGAACGGGGTGGTTTTTAGTCAGCAAGAGTCTGACACTCCCTCCCGCCTCACCCAGGCGGGAGCAGTCATTCGGTGATATTCCCCCCTTAAAAAAAGCCTATAACATTTATCTTATATGTATTCTAGTTTAGTAGAAAGGTATAAGGACATGCTTGCATACTATTGCAATCCTTCAGTCTTTGAAACTTGATCTTTGGCTTTGAAAGGTTTCAGGAATTATTTGTGTACCACAATAGTCTTGATACTTGAACTGTTCCTATAAAAATAAACCTCGAATGCTTTATACCTCTATAATTTGCTAAACCTGAAATCAGTCAATCAGTCAAAACCAGTCAAATGATAAGCTCGTAAAAAGATATTACGGATGGAGGCAAGGAGTCTCGGGTTCAATTTCCAGGTCGGGGAAAGTATTACTGGGGTTTTAAATTATTTCAGTAGTGGCACGGGGCTTAGAATTGTGCCCGGTATATGGCAATAGGCTCACCCCCTCTTACATGGGATTCATAACATAAAAAGTAAAGAGTGGGTGTTACATTGTACAATGGCCATTAAGTGCTGTAATGTTCACCTCAGCCTACCTCTTCGAGGATAAAAGGTGTGATGCTATGTTATTGGAAGTATCGATTTTATAGTACAGAGTCTAGATGTGCACGTTTCATGCTTACGTTTAGTCGCGCGTTCGATTCCATCTCAAATTATGTTTTATTTTTCGAAAGTACACACACATCACATCTTTGTAATACATATTTTTTTTTTTTTATAAAGGACAACCAACAAAGCATACACCAAAATACATGATAGGTTTTTTTTACATAATATTTTAACAATCTATAGTGTAGCCTTAATTACAGGCTGCCACGACATGCAATATAAAAGAACAGGATATTACAACAAAAAAGAAAGAAAGTTCGCTTATCAAAAAAAAAAGACATCAATTTCAATCACAATTGTTAAATTTAAGTTTTTACTTCTTTTTAATTTTTAAACTATACAATTTTGATTGAGATCTGAACATGTGCATATAGTGCAGTTTAACTCTGTGAGAATGTCCTACGCAGGACAGTTTTCACTTTAGAAAGAGAATAGGACATGTCAATATCCACACTAAGTGAGCATGACAGGCGACTAAATTGTTCTTGCATTCTATTAATTGAGGAAAAATGACCCAGGCTTGTTTTAAAGCCTTTACCTGAAAGCAGCCGATATCTAGACATTCGAGCCAGTTTGAGGGCACATTCACATTAATCTGGCTAAGTAACTGCGGACAGTCAATTGATTGTTTATTTTTGTACAGGAAGAAGGTGATCTAGGATTTTACGACGATTATCTAGACTCATCAGTTTAAAATACTTCAAACGAGAGCTAGCTGGTTAATTTATTAGCCATGTGACATTGATACGTCAAATGCCAAAGAAATCTTTTCTGAATGGATTCTAAACGGCGTTTATGAATATCGTACAATGGCGTCCAGACTATGCTGCAGTATTCTAAACCTGACCTAACTATTGAGTTGAAAATGGCGATTTTAGTTTTGGCGTGTTTAAAATTTTTACTGTTGCGTATAACGAAGCCCAACATCTTAAAACCCTTAGAAGCGATCTTATCAATGTGACTATGAAAACGCAGCTTATTGTCTATGTAGACGCCCAGATCACGAACTAATGCTTTTTCGTTAACAGTTTTTTCGTTTATACTATATTTACGGAAATGGGGTCCTAATTTTCTAGAAAAATGCACATGACTGCATTTTTCAGCATTAAGTGACATCTTATTGTCCAGACACCACTTTGAGAAACGGTCTAGGTCCTCTTGAAGTCTGTATGAATCCTGATCGCATTCCATTCGCTTAACAATCTTGAGATCATCCGCGTATAAATAAATTTTTGAGTGTACAAAACAAGATGCCACGTCATTCATGAATATGTTGAAAAAAGGGCCTAGATGAGATCCTTGGGGCACACCCGAGGGTGTCAAATAAAGATTCGACGAGTAACCGCCGACTACCACCCTAGAAGTGCGCTCAACAAGGTAGGACTCGCACCACTGCAACAAGTTTCCTGCGATTCCAACTAGGTGTAATTTGTTAACTGTTTGTGATTCACCTTGTCAAATGCCCTGCTAAAATCCGTATAGATAACATCTACAGGTGTTCCACGGTCTACGGCGTCGATTAGATCAGATGTAAAGCACGCAAGATTCGTTGCCGTAGAACGGCCCTTCATGAAACCGTGTTGTTCAGGCATCAATACCTGTTTCACATGCCACGAGAGTGCAGGGTATACTAAAGCTTCGAACACCTTCCCAAAAATAGACAAGATAGATACAGGTCTATAGTTATTCGCGATGGACTTGTCACCAGACTTGAAAATTGGCACAACTCGTGCTTCTTTTCAGGTCTTCGGAAAACAACCTGTGTTCAATGATTTATTAAAAATCATAGACAGAGGCTCCCCCAGAGGGTTACGATATTTTATTGCAAAGATGGAGGGCAGTCCGTCCGGCCCTGGCCCTTTGTAAGGGTCCAGTCTTTTCAAGGCATTAATGACTGAATCCGTCGATAGTATTAGGTGGGTCAAAATATTAGAATTACATGGTACGTTACCGTAAATAGATATGTTGTCAACACTATTATTATTATTAGTATCGCCAGAGCCTTCATAAACCGATGAAAAGCATGAGGCAAATAGATTGCAATTTTCCACTCCATTACTACCCTTGATATTATCGTAATGTATTGACGAAGGGTATGTACTATTACCGTTACGTTTCTGCTTTAAGAAGTGTATAATTACAACCCTGTTATTACACACTTTTACACATTTTCTTCATTACTTAATACCACGAATTTGCCACGAATGGGCCGGCTCAACCGGAACCACGGCTTCACAGAGAACCGACGTGAAGCAAAGCTTGCGTTGTGTTTCGTCGTGTGAGTGAGGTTACCGGAGGACGAGCTCCCTCCCCCCTACTCCAATCTCCCCAACCCCCGAATCCCCAACAATTCTCAAACTCCTAATCCCCAAAAGGCCGGTAACGCACTTGTAACACTTCTGGTGTTCCAGGTGTCCATGGGCGACGCCGATTGCTTACCATCAGGTGATCCGTCTGCTCGTTTATTGGCCATAAAAAATACCACAGAATATCATCACAACCACCAACGCGGTTGTCAAATAAATGTCTCCATAAAAGAAAACATTTAAAAAAACAGCCAATTTTATTTTTATAAAAGCGGATGTCCGGTGGTAGACCCTTGGCTGAACAAGCAACATCAAATACTTACAATAAATCAAATCAAGTTTTTTTTAATATTCAATCACTGCCCTTTGAAGCTTTTTAACAAAATCGACGGCTTAATTAAAAATGGCCGTCGGAACGTTGTCCGAATTTTTTATTTCGCTTCTCTCTGAATATTTTTAAGGGCGATAAAATGTTCGCGTGTATACCTCTATAGTGTAGTTTTTTTTTGTAGACTGTATTTTGTTTTTGTCTGTTGTGTCTTTATGGGCGATTGCTTTGTGGAATAGAGTACC